GTGTAGTAACCTGTGTGTCCCCCGGCTCTCGTGCAAAGGTGGGGTCTCACTTGGCTCTCAGCTCCCCCCATCGGGGCACACATGTCCGGTAAACACAGGCATGCAGGCGCACACAGGGACACTGCAGCCTCGCTGCTGCCGAAGGCCCGGGAGGCCACCAGCGGGTCCCCTACAGCCCATCCCAAGTGCCCTGCCCGGCCAAGCCTCAGGACGGCTGTGCAGCTGGACCCCGGCATCTGCCCGTGACCCACTTCCCGTCTCGACACACCGGCCACCCCAAAGTACGGGTCTGCTCGGTTCCTCCGCGTCAGAAGCTGTTTCCTGTGGCCAAGGGCCCGCCCCTCAGCCTGGCATCCGGGCGCCCACGGCACAGGCCAACCTCCTGCGCCCATCTTGTCTCTTGCTACTTTCCAGCACATGCTCTGATGCCGTCATCAAGGCGAGTGTCACTTCCCAAGCACACCCCGTAACTCCCCAACTGCCTCAACTGCTCACTACCCATTTCAAACAATGAGCCTTCCCCAACCTTCGAAGCCCACCTCAAGTACCACCTCCTCCATGAAGCCCTCCTCCTTCATGCTAAACCTGGGACTCGCCCTCCTCTAGGCTGGGGTCTCAGCGGTGTGCCCCTTGCAGGGCTCAGTCAGGTCGTTGGCCTCCCTCCCCCAACTTCCTTCTGCCCAGACTCGGGGGTGTCAACAGAAGCCTGAGCCTTGCTCCAAAAGGCTGGGGAGTACAAATTACCTTTTCTCTTGGGTAATTTGCTCTCCCTTGGCTCTCCCTTGTGGTTTTCTGGACCTCCCCCTATTGCCAGACCACGCGACCCAGGCCACTGCTCAAGCTGTGACACAGCAGCCAGGCAAACATCCGAGGCACACAGCAGCCAGACCTCATCATGCACACACAGGACCCTTGGCAAAGGAGGTCTCGTAGCAGAGGGCTGAGCACGGGACAGGAGGACCTGCCAAGAGGGACTCCGGGGGCCTCTGGCCAGCCTCACCCACCCGGACCATCTGGGCACCCGCCCTCCCCGCCCAGGGACACCACCACAAGCATGGGCCAGGCCTGTTTTCACAGCCCGTGTTGCTAAGCTGGAGCTAACAGGTCCGTGGAGCTGCAGTCTGTGTCCCGCCAGCTCCAGATGGGCACACGATGCTTGCTTTCCCACTGCATATGGGTGCTTCTGAGGGTGACGAGCCTAACACCACAGGAGATAGAAGCCCTGTGAGGGGGAGTCAGGAGCAAGGGCAGCACCGGCCGGGGGCGTGTGGGAGGCTAGGCCTCCAGGCCGTCAGGATGAGCGCGGGACAGGTCACCAGAAGCAAGGCTGGGAGGCCACCCAGAGGAGTGCCCTGACCTCAGCTCGGGTTTCCGGTCCGCGCCCACGGGGACAGCAACTGAGCTGAAACTCCTATGTGGCTGCCCACAGTCCCCTCGAGAGGTCAGAGGTGAAAGGACATCGAAAACTGCAGACCCTCACCTGTGCAGGCTGCCGACACTGGCTGGCTTTGCGCGGATCACCTTCAACCCGGTGACTCCGCCCGTGGGGAGTTATCGCAAGGAAACCATCCTAAGAGGAAAACACCTTTCTGTACGTGGATACTAATCACCGTATAGTTTATGACTGTGGAAAAGAACACACGGCGCCAGGTAGATGAGGACAGGGAAGTGATGAGGTTCATCTGCTCGATGGAACCACTCAAAAATTTTTCAAAGACCACGATCACACAAAAAATGGTGATGAGTCACAGTAACTGAGTGTCCTGACACAGCCTCACTTACTTGCACTGTTTCTTTTATTCTTTGAGCTTAAATGTTCGATTTCATATTTTGATGCACAGATAGACTGAGAATGTTTTAAATATATAGCATAACTCCTACGTCACCGGAGTCTTTAAAAGGCTACGTGCTGGGGAAGTATCAGGAGACACCAAAGGAGCATAGGTTTATGCAGCAGCAGCAGCAGGACTCTTTTCTATTGTAATGTAGTTTTCAGATACTCTTATAAATGTTGCTTTTAAAAAAGAGTGAGTAAATGGGGCACCTGGGTGGCTCAGTGGGTTAAGCATCTGCCTCCGGCTCCAGTCCTGACCCTGGGGCCCTGGGATGGAGCCCTGCATCGGGCCCCCTGCTCGGCGGGGAGCCAGCTTGTCCCTCTCCCTCCGCCCCTCCCCCTGCTGGTGCTCCTTCTCTCTCGTGCTTGCTCTCACTCTCATTGTCAAATAAATACCTAAAACCTTAAAAATAAAGTAAACAGGGGCATCCCAGGTGGCTCAGCAGTTTAGCACTGCCTTCAGCCCAGGTCGTGACCCTGGGATCCTGGGATCGAGTCCCACGTCAGGCTCCCTGCGTGGAGCCTGCTTCTCCCTCGGCCTCTGTCTGTGCCTCTTTCTCTCTGTGTGTTTCTCATGAATAAATAAATAAAAATCTTTAAAATAAATAAATAAATAAAGTAAACATGTTTTCAGGGCAGTTCTCTGCTTCAGAAGGGGAGGCCGAGGAGGGGCCTCCATTATGAAGAGCTAACCAGGACACCTGGGTCAAGCACCGGAGAGAAGCTCCTGGGCTGAACGCAGCACAACGCGAGCTTTCATGACCTGTCTTCCTGGGTGGAACCAAGGGCTTGTGACCCACCCTGCTCCCTTCTCACTTTCTCAGAGGAGAAAAGAACTCTGTGAAGGAAATAAAATAACCAAAATAGCAAAAATGCACCAATTATACAAGAACAAAACCAACAACAATGCACAATACATCAGTAATTTCTATGATTTAAAAAAAAAAAAAAAAGAAAAAGAATACCAAAAAGGCAGCAAAAAAGAGCCGTGACCAACTCAAGGCGGCACTAAGGGTGAGCATCCTTCCAAAAGTTGCAGGATGTGCCGAGCTCCGGGCCGGGAGTAGCTGCCAGGGCTGCGCGGCGGCCAGATGGCTCCGCAGAGGCCCCAGGCTGCAGGCGCCCCGGCCTGCTCCCTTCGCTTTGTGACCAGCAGCTGCAGTGACTCGCAGGGACCGTCTCCCTAGCCGGTGGCCTGTGGGCAGGTGGGAGAGTGACCGTCTGGCAGCTCACTGTTGCTGCCCCAGAACCCAGGGAAGGATGTGGTGTTGGGCACGTTGGCTACGTGCCCACCTGAGCCGGCCCCTCAGAGCCACAGCCGCACTTGGAGGCACGGACGTCTCGTCTCCCGCAAAGACGGCGAAGCCGTGGCCAAAGCCTCATTCCCGCAGGCCCTGCGGCCCAGGCGAGGCCAGGCTCCAGGGCAGGGCAAGGCCAGAGAGCGCGGAGCGACAGCTGGGGCCCTCAAACTCATCATCGGCCGGGCTGACCCGAGTCCAGACATTTCAGGTTCAGCCGCGATCCTCTGACCACACAGAATCCTGCTCCCAGGCTCCGTCTATGCAGCCAGCAGGACGGGCTGCCGGGGGGCTGGAGGAGAGATAGAGGCAGAAGCCCCCCTCCTCAGCTCCCCAGAAGCACAGAAGCCCCGGGGGGCTTCCTGGAGGCCTGGACTCTTCCAAATATGAGCCAAACTAGCTCACTGGGTCGGCCCTTTGTTCTGTGGGTGGGGAGACTGCGGCCTGGAGAGGCAAGGTGGCTCGCAAAGGCACGCAGGTGGCAGGCGGCAGGGCCAGGAGTAGCACGTCCGTCCGCCTGCCCAGAGAAGCCCGGACGACGGGAACACCCTCCTTCCGTGGCCGTTGCCCGCGGCGCCAGCACTGGTCCTACCAGAGCGACTGCTTACGGCACAGGGGAGGGAACAGGAGCTGCTGTTGGGAGAAGCAGGCCTGAGTCAGGCTGACCGGAGCCCACACCCGGCGGCCACATACACGGTGTGCAGCCCCGGCCCAGTCAGCTCCTTGGTCTCCCGGCTATGACGGTGCAGGGCCGCCGGGAGGACTCCCTCAGCTCTGAGCTGCACCGGCTTCTGGGGAGAATCACAGACGCTAGGTCTTCCCCACGCCCTCCTCTCTCCCTCAGACCCCACCCGGCAAATCTTCTGGAGCCCTCGCCCTCCTGCAAGGGAACGTGCAGATGCCCCTAGGGGGTGGACACAGGGCTCAGCCACGGGGGTGGGCTAAAACCCCCTGTGGCATCCAGGGACACCACACTAGCAAGGGAAACCCAGCTTCAAGCTGAATTCCCGCCTACAGGCCTCTGCCAATACGCGTGGCTCCAACCGCTCCCTCACTTCTGGTCCACTGGCCCGGAGCAGCAGGTCTCCTCCAACGGCCCTGCTCTGCCCCCTGCGATCAGGTTCTGCTGGCCTGACTGCTAGAAACCCGACCAGGCACAGTCAGGTTGCAGCCCCCCCAAGACCCCAGAACTCCCTCCAGGCCCCTCGCAGGCTCAGGTCACGGTGTACCATGGCCAGGAACAGGGGGATATCAGGACCACTGGGAGGAAGAGAAGCCAGAGGCTTGGGATACCCCACAACAAGAACCCTCCCTGAGTTCTGATCCCAGGACCACCAGGCCCGCCAGCATTTCCACACAAGCCCAGACCTGTCACAGACCAGCCAGTCCATCTCTTCTTGCCCTGGGGGGGACCAAGGCCCAGAAAATCCTCAGACTGTGCATCAAAGTGTCAGAAGGCTCTGGGTTCTAATCTGTACCTCTCACATCTGGATTGTCCATTTTACAGGCAGGTAAGTGCAGGTACAAACTAGAGAGGACAGGGTAACAGATGTGAGTGGAGGACCCGCTAGCCAAACCTGCCGCTTCACAAATGAGCCAACTGAGGGATGGGGGGGTGCGTGCAGGAGCAGCGTCAGGCCTGGAGCCCAGATGCCCTGCTGCGGTCTGGGGATACCACCCTGCACGGCCCCCACTGTCCTTGGAAGGGGGCCCAGCCACGTGCACCCCACTCGAGGGTGCGCAGGAAGCTCGGTCCCACAAGGGGCGTGGCCCCCACCCTCTCCCCTGGGGGAGCTCTTCTCTCAGGTGCAGGGCACTCGCCGCACTGGCGCCCGGGGAACAGACACAGACGTCCGAGCGCAGGTTACCTTTGGGCATGATCTGATGCATGGCGACGGAGAGGAAGAAGATGGAGTCGCTGTAGTAGGTCCCCGAGCCAGCACTGAAGTGCTTCTGCATGGCCTCCACGACCGGGAAGAGCTTGTCCGTCAGCACGCTGACATCGTGGAAGACAACCTGCAGCAGGACACAAGGAGACCACACGGGTGAGAGGGCTGGCCCCGACCCTGGCTCAGGCTGCCTCCCCGCCACAGGCCACAAGCAGGGTGTCCCGAGTGACAGCAAGAACTCCTGGGCGGCGGGGATGGGGACCCCGCGTGGGGGCACGGCGTGGGAGACGAGTGGGGCAGCCAGCTTCCTGCTTCCGATCCCCGCACCAGGCCTGAGATGACCAGGAAACCCCGTGAAAACGTGTGGTCCTGATGTTCAGGGCCCTCCGCGTGTCTGGGTGGCTGGTACCTGCCCTGGCATCAGCGCTCCCGGTGGCCCTTTGGGCGTCAGACGCTCCACCTCCTGGGCACTCGCATGAGCAGGACAGGATGGCGCCCAGTGCCACCGCGGGCCCGTCCGGGTTCAGCCAGCACTTCCGGCGTCCCAGACACTCTGCAGGGACGCAGGAACCAGGAATCACTTCCTGCAAAAACGCTCGGGGTCTACAAGGGTCCCCAGCCCCTGAACACAGCTCTGGGGCACTGACGGGACGCTTGCGTGCACAACGATGCCCATGACGACCGGGACTCGGGGTGGGGGGGGCAGGCGTCCCTATCACAGCTCGATCACAGCCACAGATGATTACAGCCACAAATGAGGAAGAGATGCTCAAGGGGTCATACTGTGGCTCCCAGGTGGCCGGAGCTTCAGCTCTGCTCTCTAGATTCTAAGTCCCATCTGTCTCCGCCGTAAGTGCGTCCTCTTTCTCAACAGCAGCCACATGGGCACAATCAGCAAGAGGAGGCGATGAGGACCCACGGGCCCGTGAGAGGGTGCTTTTCCTTGTTTGACGTGAGTCTACGTGATAAATCCATCCCCCTGCCACCAGCCTACCAGGCACGTGCTCCCGGAGGTCTTCCGGGTCTCCTCTGCTGCTCCACACGCCCCCCAACGTCTAGAACACCCCACCGCACGCAAGAGGCGTTGACAAACACAGCCCAGGCCAGAAGCTACGCGCTCCTCCTCCTCCGTGGTTGGCCTTCACAAGAGGCCGCTGACCCCTCCGACCTCCCCTTGTCCCTGGGAGCAGACAGGACGGGACAGGACAAGCCTGTGAGGCCTCCACCCACTGCTCAGCGGAAGGAGAGCCCCCATCCCACAGCCTGGTCGGGGACCTGCCAGCAGGAGAAAAGACGGGTGTGGGCAGGCTGCCGAGAGGCCCTCAAGCAGGTGGTGCGGCGTGCCCCCACCCCCCCGCCCCGGGCCCAGGCCCCGGCCCCAGGCCCAGCCCCCTCCCCGCCCAGCTGCTGCGTCCAGAGCCCCAGGCCTCAGGTGGCACCCAGAGGACCAGCTGTCCAGGGAGATGGTGGTGGCGCGCGGCCCGGCCCGCTGCAGGCCCTGCCTTTAGCAGCTTACTTTTGTCTTGACTCCCTTACGTGTTGGCTTTGCTCTTTAGGTCGACTTGGATTTCGGCAACAGCCTTAGAAACCTCACGCTGAGCGGGCGCTGCTGTTCTTACTGCTCTGTCTTTTTCAGATTCGTCTCCGTTTCTCTCCTAATGAACTATTTTCCTTTATCCTTTCCCGACTCCTTTTCTTGATTTTTTTTTTTTTTTTTTTTTTTTTTTTTGCTTCTTCAGGACATCCCGGCCAGCTCTGCTGGTCCCTGGTACAACTGCCAGAGGAGCCTCACGCCTCCCAACCCGCCACACTGCCCTCACCTGCCACTGCGGCGTCCCGCTCCTTGAGCGCCTCGGCGCCCGGGCTCAGCGTCAGGTTCCTGGCTTCCCAGCCCGCTGCCCTGTGCCCTCCGCACCGGCCTCTGCTGTGCCTCCCAAATAACCTGCCAAATACCCACATTCCCCTCACCCCCTCCTTGGTCTCAAAACCTCCAATGGCTCCTGCCATTGGGACGGTGCAAATGCCCCGGCGAGGCTTCAGAGGCCCGGCCTACCCCCCGCACTGCCTCCCTCCCCGGGCGCTGAACCAGGCTGTCCCTATCCTGCCCCTGGGCTCCTTGCACCGTGGGGAACCCCTATCCTGCCCCTATCCTGCTGTCCCTATCCTGCCCCAGGGCTCTTTGCACCGTGGGGAACCCCTTCCAGTCCAGTAAACTCCTCCGCGGGCTGCCAACGTCGCTCAGACCCTGGCTCTGGCCCCGGCTTAGCCTTCCATAACTCATCACGTCCCCGTCCGCACCCTCTGCTCCCCTGCCTGACTCTACAAGACCCTGTTTCCATGTCCGGCACATGGGGCACTCCCTGAGGCTGCGATGGCTCTGTGCCCCACGCCCAGCCCCGGGCCACAGGACAGGCCACCACAGAGCTCTGTGGAACTAAATGAACTTCCTAATTTGGTAACGAAGTTACTAACCCACTGCAAGCCTAACACCTGCCTCCCACGTGCCTTTCAGGACTACCTGGGACAAGGAGACAACACGCCTAGTTCAGGGGTGGCCACGCTGCACTCATTCCTAAGTGTGAGCATCCTGCCCCCGCCCCCTCCCCCCGAGGCCCCTCTCCTTGCAGGACACTCTTCACTCATAAGCCAGCCTTTCCCTCGGAGCCTCCTAACACCTCCAAGCGCATCTGGAAGCGGGAATTTGACAAGAAGCTGACAAGAGGGCTCCCTAGAAATGGAAGCTTCGTATTCATTAAAAAGGAGGACAGAGAGTGGGTATGCACAAGCAGACACACACGTACACGCTCAGAGCAGAGCCCGCCGGAGCTGAGCTGGGAAAGACGGCTCTCAGCCGCCCTCTGGTTCCTCTAGCCGGGCCCCATCTCACCCCAGAGCTTCATGGGAGACAATTATATCCTATCAGCGCTAATAGATTTATGAGGACAAACTGTACTCAGTACATTGTTCCAAATGCTGCACAGTGAAGAACCCGCTCCAATGAATATTTCATATCATAAATCTACTTGAAGATAGATTAATATGTTCCATGGACACGTAGCAAGAGCAAACCACAGACACTGCAAGGGAGAATCAAAACACCCAGACCTCCCAATGTCTAAAACCAGTTTGCAAATGGTGACCTTCCAAGGGCACATTCAGAAGCCCCTATCTGGTCCAGGGCCTGGTGTCTGGCAGGGGGCAGTGTGGCAAGAGTGACGGAAGGTGCAAAGCTGGGGCGGGGGGAGGACAGGGAAAATGTCACCCCTCCCACCCTTCCTCCCCCCTTTCTTTTTTTCCTTTTAAAGATTTTATTTATTTATTAATGAGAGACACAGAGAGAGGCAGAGACACAGGCAGAGAGAGAGAAGCAGGCTCCATGCAGGGAGCCCGATGTGGGACTTGAACCCGGGACCCCAGGGTCATGCCCTGAGCCGTAGGTGGCGCTAAACCGCTGAGCCACGTGGGCTGCCCACCTTTCAAACGCCCGACCTCAGGGGCTGCACGAAGAATTACCATATAACCTAGAAAACCAGGAGGAATAATATAAAATAAATCCCACACTAAAGGCAATTAGCCAAGGAGAAGATCTCAAACAATGGTATGGTTTGCACCAACTTGACTACACAATTTTGGGGGACTTAAGATTAAAAAGTCAAATCACTGTTGTGACTTCTAAAAGTTTATTTATATATAAATACTTAAAATCCTATTAATCTTAAAGTATGATTTTTTTCCCCACACTCAGCTTACAAAAGGATTTCTTTTTGAGCTTCTCCAGTGCATGCACAGCATTAGACCCCTTATCAACCTGGGTTGAGACATCCAGAGCCATACTCCGGAACACATCATCCTTGTCATCCACTTAAGGTGTTGGATACGGTTCCTTGTGAATTTATGTAGGACGGTGTCACTGGAAATGGTTCTCTAACCCACGAGAATCCACGTTCATATCATGAAGCTGTTGGTTTTTTCATCAGCCTGTAATTACGTACTTGTAGCCACTTAGTGTCTTCCTTTTATCAGTGATCTTTAAAGGCTCACTTATACCAATATTCTACGCTTGTAATTAGGAAATCAAAACCCCAGGAATGATGACTAAATCTGTGTTAAATTTCTGCACATCCGTTTATTTTTAATTAATTCTGTCAACTGACTTCCAGAAGCACTTAAATTCATCCAGGCTAAAGTGTTCTCAAGCTGTTCTTTGTGGTTCAAATAAAACACGCAGTTGAGAGACCACTGTGTACGAGAGACTCGAGAAAGACTCATCCGGGGATGCAGGCAGAGGGGAAGTTTGCCTCGTATCCACAAGGCACGGCATGTTCTCGGCACTTCCGAATGGAGGAGACCAAAGCACCTAGAATGGCACCGAGTCTGGAGCCGTGCAGGGGTACGTGTGTTTGCCAGCCGGGCCCTGGGCTTGCAGGCACGCGCGGCCCTGAAAAGCCAAGCCACAACTGCCTTCAACATTCACAGAAGACATAAAGCAATGCCAGGTCTTAGCTCAACTTGGTGGAGAAAACTCATTTGTCACATGGGAGTCAGGTCACACCACGATCTGGGAGCCAAGAAACAAAGCGACGGGCGCTGGCTCTGCACACAATGCCACGTTTCCAGGAAACACCGAGGCAAGGCCGGCCGGAAGAAGAGCAACCCCCCAGCGCCGGACACAGTGCCACGGGATGGCGACGCGGCCCGCCGAGCTCGGCTACACACTGTCCCCCGAAGTGCTGCTGGAGAAGAATGACGGCACAGAGCTGTGGGAGACCCCCCAAACCTAATATCCCTGGTGCACCTGCCACAGGCTGGAATCTATGTGCTACGGGAACAGCAAATGGGTGTCGGCTTGTCCCACAGGGAGCCTCGAGCACTGGGTAAGAAGGCTTCTGCAGCTGCATCTGGACTCATGCCACCACCAGCACCAGCGTCGTCCACCAGTGGGTGGGCAAACTCACCCCCCCACAGAGCTACCCGCCCTGCGCTGCGGGTGTCCTGTTTCGGCCCCTACTTCTTAGGATGTTTAGCACTTCTGCAAGATGTCCTAGATGTAATTTAATTTTTCCAGGCAGAAGCACAAACAGCTCAAGAAGGAAAAAAAAGCAGCCTGCCCATCTAATTCCCAAAGAA